CCACCGAGCATATACCTATATTCAGTTGAATCGATAGGATATCTGCTTAGGGCAATGACCAAGTCAACCGACAGTTAGAACGACTCGTAAAATGGCGTCGAAGGTAGCCGTTTACGGCCGCCGGCTAACTGTATCATCGTTATATATAGTATTTGAACGTGTAAAATTAATTAGTTAAAGCTGTATAATTAGACTTTTAGACTCCTTATCTGCGAAAACGTACTTCAATCGTACGAGCAGTTACTATGATATTGTAATAAATTAGCTAGAGTCTCTGTAATTAAAGTAAGAACATGATTATTTTGATAAAGATTGATAATCTCAGCCTTGTGCGGCTCGAGATTAATTAATGGACGAACAGCAGATATAATTGAATCTTGTACGATAAGATGAAAGCTGAGATGCAGACCGCTAGTTTAAAATTTTAATAAGGCAGTAATAAAGGCAGCAAACAGGATCAAAATATGAATTTTTACTTTCTTCCGTTTTCTTTATATAATCCGCTGTAGATGACACGAGCGGCGACGCCAACACAGTCCTTGTTGCCACCGGGATTCTGGACGCCGGCGGAAGCCCAGATGCTCCAGGTACCGTCGATACTGTTGGGGCAGGCAATCAGGCTGCTGCCGTCGAACTCGAGGTGGCTATCCTTGATGGCCCAGCCCTCACGCTCAACGTTGCGGGGAGTGGGCTGAGCACCGGTGGTATAGCCGATCTTGCCCTGGCCTAATGATTTGAATTAGTTTCTCTGTCGATCGATTGATCCCAAAAAGATACTGGGATGCCAAGGAATACGTACCCATGTCGGAACGGTCGACATAGATCTCCTGGGAAGTAGCGGAAATGTCGTAGAGGTAGAGAGCGCCGTCCTGGATATAGAAGGTGGCGGACTGCTCCTTAGGACGGGCACAGCTGGCACCCTGGTCGGACAGACCGGCGAACAGGCTGTTCTTAGCCGCATTTACCGCGTTGAAGGCGGCGTTCTGGACGCCGCTGCTGGAGTGGATAGCAATGATATCAAAGGTGTTGGTCCCGGAGGACTCGGAAGTGGGCATAGCAGTACCGGTAGCAGCGGCCGCTGAAACAACGAAAAAGCGAGAGAAGTGCATAATAACTGGATAGGGTAAGGTTAAGTAGTTAGTTGGTTGGGAAGAAGAGTTAGAAGTTTAAATAGATCGAAGAAAAAGATAAGTGATAATAGACAGGATAAAGGAGGGAATTAGCCTGTTTTCGTAGCCGACAGAAGGACAGCAATATTATTCCGGTTGCCTCTCGACCAGGAGGGGAAATACTGAGTACCGAGTGTCTAGTGCACGTACGCCTGTCCGGAATATACCTAGCTAAGTGGCTATTAGTCCGTCTAGCGGGCCACGAGAGATACTGTTATACCTGAAATTAGGGCCTGCGCCATTCTTAGGCCTCGTCCGCCCCGATTAGCCCAGACTCGCAGCCGTGGAGCCGTCCAGAGCGCAACCCTAAATGACATGTTTCGGATAAAATCAAGATATTATCTTAACCACTACCTCCTTTTGGGCTTCGGCCCTTCGTCTTTCTGGTTTCCTGTTTTCTTCTCCTTTCTAGCCCACATCCGGTTGGCTTCCGGTGGGAGAACTAGAAACCCAGTAACAATAGAATTAGGCATAACTTACTCCTCAGTCTTACTACTCGGCTCTTATAATTGATATCTGTATACCTTAGTTATCTCAAGCTCTAAATAGTCTTATCAATAATAAGCTGTCTCTTCCGAGATTCTTCCTATCATTCCGTCGTATGATTTACCCAATCCTTGTGACTACATGGCTAGCCCCGGTGGAGTGTGGCTTAGAGCTTCGGCCAGTAGCACCGTTACCACTTAACTCCAGACTCGATACTTGGCCTAGGTCTTAGGATCGATTATAGTCTCCGGAGAATTGAGCTGAGAGTATATTATAACGCCCTCTTAACGTACACATGTTCGATAAATCGAGTAAGTCCTCCGAAAGATCATTATCAATAGTTTACTATGACCTGACATGTTGTTGGCATCTTGATATCACCTCTCGCCACAGTATACGCCAAAATATCTACGTTCCCTTCATTTCCCCGAGTGAGACCTGCTGAAACCTGCAGCCTGCAGGTCGTGAAAGACAGACGATAATACCTACCTTACCTTCCTAATCGAACCTCGTCCCCGAAATATAGGACGAGCAGATCTACAAGGTGCATCGTTTTTTAACCGGTATACTCACTTTCTATAGGGGACTAGAACCTTCCTCTGAGGTCCGACTGAAGCTAGATACCTGGCAATAGAAGTACGCAAACAGGATTGTCGGAGAAGCTTCGGCGCCCAAATTGGGCCGACTTCAACTTTTTTGTCTTAGTTTTAGCTCAACTTATCCCATACCGGACTACAAATAGAGTAGCCATCAGATCCTGTAGCAAACAGTTACACATAATTAAATAACGCCCTGTTAGAGAAGGAACCGGGAGATAAAGAGTTAACAATTAACAGGTCATAATGGTAGTGTTGGAACAATATTGTCAACCAGGCCAGATAGGTGGAGTATCCTGCCCTAATCCAAATACCGCACAGCACCTTGCTTGGCCTAGACTTGGCCTACCATTCCAAATGGCATACCAAGGGATCAGGAATGCATAGGTGTAAACAAGTGGAACTATAAATAGCTAGGCAGATTGCAGTTTGGAAATGACACTTCACTTTTACCCACCGAGCATATACCTATATTCAGTTGAATCGATAGGATATCTGCTTAGGGCAATGACCAAGTCAACCGACAGGTAGACTCTCTCCTTTCCAACTGTGAAGTCAGACACGCCGCGTACCAGTCAGGTCCGCGACTCGGCATCTTGGGACTTGGATACAATCCGCTCGTAACAGATAACCAATATGGCTATCCCATATCGTAACCCAGTTTCCCTTTCTCTCAACAGCCTTGTACGCATATTCAACTTTTCGCATATGCTTAAGCAGGGGTCTCGTAGTCCTCCTACACCTTCAAAATGTCTATTCAATCGCTTTATAAAGGGCTGTCAAACTATAATGTATACTGCGGCCCTTCTCGCGCAAGAAAACGCCGATTTACGCGCGGAAAGTGCAAATAGACGTACAAAACGGAATCGAACGAAGCGTCAAATGTCTCCTTTTGAAACCGCTTCTATAGACAAGACGAGAGATCTAATTCAGCAGCGAGATTATCAAGAAGAAGCATTGAATCATGAATATATGCAGGCTAGAACTTCAACTTCAGGGGTCCCAAAACGCGCCCCACCCACATGTTCTTATTGTCATACTCAGGGTTATATTAGAACTAACTGTCCTAAACGCGCAGTTTGAATAGCTTCAATAAAAATTGCGTTGTTTTGTTGTTTTTAAATAGCTTTAATTATTGAATGTGTGGTCGATTTCGGTCGGGGTACTCACTCAGTCAGGAAATGCGTTATTCTGTACTGCTTAAATAATCTGATAAGTCGGATAGTTAGCTGAATCGCAATTTGATTCAACTGCATCCTGGCCTTTGGAGCCATGGGCCAGGATTAGAACGTCAGAATCGGAAAGCACTGGAGGCGGTTTTCCAAAGTTATGATGATCCCAATCGATACCAAATTTTAACTTGCGAATGCAGCGTACACCTTCTTCACGCTAAAGCTGTGTTATAATTGCGTGTCCAAATGCTCCACTTCCTCCGGTGACCACAAAGCGTAACCGCTTATGAAGGAGTAGGCAGTACCCTAAATCTAGTCGAAGACCTTAACAAAAGAACCGACATAACGATCCAGGTAGACATGATGGAGTGAGTGAAACTCTAGGCTCGCGAATATCCAGTTGACGTCCTTCGGGACAGTTTTGTAAGTGAGATAATTTGAGTCGCGGCCCTCCATAAGGATGACAAAAGAGGCTTTTATAATTTCAAAGCCAATCGTAGACCAAAGATGATTCATTTTAGCTCACACGAGGCCGTTGGGAGTCACTAAACTGACAAATATATACCCCATTACGGTTCCAAGGATTTGAATTGCGAGTTCAAGCGGCAAGGCTTAAAATCGATTCTGCTGAAGATGCTTTTTGTCGAACTTCAGGTACCGTATAAAGTAGAGGTGGTAGAAATGGTAGACACGTACCAAGCATTAAAAAGGGGGATAAGTCGATTTGTTGCAACGGTAGAGCATATGATAAATAACATCAAAAAATAGATATCAGAGCCTACGGCGGAATGGACATATGGCTCAACCAACGGAATCACAAAAGAGGTCTGAATTGCTGTATAGCCCCTAATTAATTACAAAATGATCGGTAATTTAGATAATCTACCTCTGAGCTATAAATTCCGATAATAGAGAACCCGTGCAAAGCAGGTAAAAAAAAGACAGTAAAGGGAGAGTTATATCATGCTCTAAGTAACGGATGTAATAAACTACCAAGTCAGCAACTGTATCAATAGAATGTACGTTGACTGAGTTACTCATCTTTACGATGCTTTTCCAAGATAAAAACGTAAAGAAGGATTGAGAAGCCCTAGGCAGTATTCTTAAGTATGAGCATGCCCGCTTGGCTCATTACGATATATACTAAGAATTTCTGCATTATTTCTTTTTATAAATAGCCGGCAAGATCTCGACTAATTACGTATGATTTGATACCATTCGCTATGCCTTAAACTTAACCCATCCAGGTGTTTCAAACGGACGAACTAGCATTCTGATCTACATACATCCAAACAAATGGGCCTCGTAGGCTGGAGAAAGTTCGGGAAAATTTAAGCTAGGCAGCTACTTATTATTCTAGAATTACTATGACAGCACTATCAAAAGCCATTACGATACAGATATACTTTTCTACGACTGGAGACAAATAGGTAAAACAAAGATATGTTAAAAACAAATTTTAACCCGAAATGAAACGTGCTCTTTTGTGGAACCTGCTGATAGAATCAACACTGTTATATACGGGACTTGACCGATTTCGGGGACTTACCTTTGAATAAGATGTGCCACTCAAGCGTCTGAGTCGGTCCTCAGCCCCTATCCTTCAACAATCGTTCGAAGACAATCCGTTACCGATCAATATCCCATTATCGTCAAACTTACGGCATCTTATCTCTAGATAAACTACGATGGTAGTCTTTTCAGGAAAGAGAATGAGAAAGCTTATCGTTCTAGTAGCTCTCTCTCTTACAGTCTTTGTTATCCATCATTTCAGCTTTTCTGACGATTTTGCCCTCGCCGAGCGGTTGTCCGAATCTATAAAGATAATCGACGGATGTACTGCTGATACCTTCGAACGTCTCGATAATTTTACCGATATCCTCGACTCTGGAATACCTAACACTGTTCACCAAATATGGAAATCAACCAACATCCAAGAGTATTCTACGAAAATGAAACCATCACACGAGTTATGGAAGACCGTGCTTGAGCCTCAAAATTATACTATCAAGCTCTGGACTGACGATGACGTCCTCAAACTCATCAAATCCAAATACGCATGGCTACTGCAGACATACATGGGATATCCTCATAATATTCAACGTGCCGACATCGCCAGACTGCTTGTTGTCCACGCCGAAGGCGGCATTTATGCAGATCTAGACGTGTACCCTAGGTCAGCCGAGCACATACAATGCCTCCAACATCTCGGTTTGCAAGCAGTATTTTCTACAACCTCAGGTACCCTCGGCCTGAGCAACCACTTCTTTATGGCTGAGCAGGGATCTCCACTCCTCCAGTGGGTGCTTTACGAGGTAAAGCGGCGGGCGTGTGGACTGCCATCACGATGGATAGTTCTGCCATACCTGCAGGTCTTTTGGACTACGGGGCCGATAATGTTGACATCGGCGTTTAAAAAATACTCCTGGATATACGGCACACTACGGGACGCCATCGGGCTTCTAAACGAAGGGTATAGCGGTGCAGTGATACAGCATGCTGCTGGACGGTCCTGGCATGGGTTAGACGGGCAGGCGTTGAATTATATAGCGGATCATTTGCAGATGGGGGTACACGTAAAGGGTCTTGCATATATCATCATAGCATTGGGGATTATTTATGTTGTTAGGAGACACTATGGTAGATTATATCCTAGATGAGCTCCAGGGCTATGGATTGCGCAATATTAGTAAATGGATTTTTATGACTGGGCGTATTTATGCCTACGCTTTGAAGTACGTGTCATAGCAGTATTTCTCAAGAGTTCTCGGCGCTAAACAGGGCTGATTCCTCAACACGCTCCACTATTGGATATATTTAGAAAGGAGCCTGTAAGACGAGCTTTAATAAGTACCTTGATGAGCGATGGCTCTGATAAGGCTCGAAAATCGGATGGAAACGCTTGGTTATCTCTAATACTACAACTGCAGAGGTTCTAGAAATGCAGCGGCCCAGTATGGGTCAGCTGACTGACTAACTACGTGCAGTCTAGCGCCGCAAGCCATACCAGCAGGCTCCAACATACCTTTGCATATACACACAACGAAATTCATGTTTATTCTCCTAGCCAACGCGCAAATCTATTGTCTTAGCACATAGGACCATAGGGTGTGGAGAACATGGGCTTAGCCGCACTTAAATCTAGCCAAAATTTCACCGGTAGGTTTTGAATTTTCCCCACGCACGTCTCACTACTTGACCAGTCCGCCACTATCTACCGGACCCCTAAAACTTTGGCAGAGACATATAACTAAGTTGTTTGTTGGGATTAAACCACTAGACAGTGGATATTTAAATAGCGGTCAGTAGAGGCTTGACTCCAAATTCACTTTTATAACAGCCTATTTAATCTCAAAAGGTCACCAGCTTTGTCATACGCCACCATAAATGACGAATACGGCGAGCGGGGCTCCGGGGTTCCGGATACTAAGTGAATCCGAAGGATATACCTGGCAGATACGTTCCGGTGGATGTCCACCGGAGAGTATCGAGCCTCCGAGAATTGAAGGCTACAGTTTTCGAACTAGCGGCTTGGCAGTGGGGCCCGAGATGAAGAGAGGAGTAGGCTGCGGCAGCATCGGACGGATTGTACGATGATCCACTATCGTATACGTATCGCGGCCGATTTTTGGTTAGTTAGTTGTATTTTACGGCCGCGGTTCACCGCCTAGGCACGTGTCCCGCCGTCCCCTGCTGGGGCAAAGGCCGCCAGGGGATAAGCCCTGGGCGTCACTAACTAGTTCTAGTTCTAAGTACAGATAAGGGACTTTAGCGCTTTACATAGCTGCTGCAGTCAAGAAGCAGAGCCTGTGGATCAGGCAAAAGTTAATGCCAGCTACAGAGGTCCTCTTAATTTCCATGACCTATCCTACCACCTCCATCCTTTTTTTTTTTTTTTTTTGGGTTCTCAGTCTAGCTGAGGTAGTGGATGCCGAGTGCATATATCTTCAAAGAAACGGGTTTCTGAAAGCCATGCAGCCAGCTCGGTTGCACCTTTTGGGGTGCCAAGCAGGTATGGGATTATGTCGGAAGAGAACCCTGGAGGTCGAGGTCGGTACCTCTTTGCTATGCAGCAGAAAAGGAAATGTAATGTAGTCTTTCTTGTATTACAGCAGCAGAAAAGATAGATATCTTTATGATTGAACTGTTCGTGATAGGCTGCAAAGTCTCCGTAGCCCGTACGAGCAGCTAAGATCCGTGCTAGAAGCGGCCTTGAGAGCTTTAGCTCTGCAGGGCATCTAGAGAAGTTAGTAATCCAAAGATCTTGATAGGATTGAGGGGCCGTAAACTGTCAGTATCTTTATAAAGCAGTTATAGTACCTGCTTTAGTCTGCTGCCTTAACGAGGCATACGAGTGTTTGCTTAAAGAAAAAGAATCTATAGTAGTACCCTTCTTTACAGCTTGATCAGCTGTCTCATTCTCAGGAATCTATGTGTAACCGGGAACCCAGCAGACCCGTAAAGAGCTACCATTAGTATATGAGAATCTCTCTCGCGTCAGCCAGGTCTGGGCTAGGGTTTAGAAGGATACGAAGACTCCTTGGGACGAACCCGTAAAAGGTAAAAAGAGGCGTGTAGCTACCTCCAGGTTATCTAGACAGACCCAGAGGTTGATAGCAAAACGAGTAGTACCTAATTTAAGAGCTATTTTAATCTCAGTTAGTGCTACTTCAGCTTCGGCATCAAAGACCTCTTTATTCGGTCTCAGGGAGAAAGAGAACTGCTGGAACAGCGTTCCAAATTGATATAGAGTATAACTGCTACCTGCCATTCCGTTTTCTAGTTTCGAGCCATTTGTAAAGACTTTTATATCAGTCTGTAGGAGAGAGGCGTAGAATCTTTGAAATCTATTAGCTATCTATTTCTTGGATATGCCTGTAGGAATCCTGATTTGCCGTTAGACTGTTTCGCGTGTCTCTTGTGGGATCCAAGGAGCATTTTGTAGTGGGTTCAGTTGTTCTGACTCAGGGAGAGCTAGTACGCGGCGTTTAAAGTGGCCAATTTGGAGGCCAGTTCGGGTTGCTTTTTCTGCTCTCCTGCGGAGAGGGTAGTAGGGGTTAAGACAGCGGAGACGGACCGTAGCGGTAATGGTCGGCCAGGGTTCCTCACGGCTAACGATTATAGCTATGGGAGCCATTTCTTTAACATGATATTTAAAGCTGAGCTTCTTGTCGAAGAGGATTCCTAGCCAGCGTAGGTACGGGCGTATTATATTCTCTGAGATTGTAACAGGCCCCGCTACCACTGATGGTATGCGGCTAGGGTCTTGATCAGCTCTGTATCGTGAGAAGTGTATCAGCTCATATTTATTTGGTGCAAAGGTAATTCCTTGTGCAAGACCTCAGTCCAGGGTTTCCTGCAGGGAATCTGATAGGTTCTGAGCATTCGCCTCTAGGGACAAGGATGTTGCTAGGAAAGCTCCATCATCTGCGTAGCCGAATCTAGCCTTTAGACTGCCCATCCAGAATAGAGGGGCCAGATAGAGCATAAACAGGATAGGAGAAATTGGCGAGCCTTGTAGTAAGCCACAGAATATCCAAATCTTAGGCCCTAGTTCTTTATCCAGTCGGATTTGAACCGTACGACCTGTGATAAAGGAAACTATCCAGCGGACTAGATTATTAGGCCAGCCTTGCGTGCGTAATCTGTGTATTAGTTTACCAGGAAGAACCCCATCAAATGCCCCTTCGATATTGAAAGTTAAAAGAGAGGCTGTCTTGTCTTGATTTAAGGTTTGCTCTACGTCATGCAGCAGGTAGGTAGTAAGATCAACCGCAAAACGAAGAGGTAAGGTCCCAAACTGTTAGCTAGCAAGAGCTTTGTGAGGAATAGCAATCTATGCCATATTCCGTTCTATCAGGCGTTCAAGGCCTTTGCCTAGAACTGAGAGGAGGGCAATTGGTCTGTACGACCTGGGATTCGCCCAGTCTGTCTTGTTTGGCTTTTGAATGACAGCCAGAACAGCGTAACGGAAACATTGAGGGTAATAACCAATTGCTAAACATCCTTGATAGAGTATTAGCACTTTGTTCTTGATCAGAAGCCATGCTGCCTTTAGTATGCTGGTAGAAAGTTCATTACTTCCTGGGGTTGTATTGCCTGCATGCAAAACTGCTTTCTCTACCTGCGCCATTGATATGTCCGGGAATGGCAGAGATCTCGATAAGATCGCAGATGTGTCTAGCGGTATATCTCCTGCTTCAGCGGAATTCTGGAGGAGATTTCGGGCTAAAATATCGCGTTTTTCTTGTGTACCAACTGCTGGAGGGCAGTTAGGTTGCAAAGGATCTTTCATTGGTAGGCTCCTGTAAGATCCTGTTATCTTATGCCGCTTAGACGTCTCGAATATCTTTTTGCTTGTAGTAGTTGCATTGATTTTATTTTTTTAGTATTTCTGTTGAGCTTGACGAACTATCCGCCGGAAGTCTTTTTGTGTAAGAGATCTTATACAGTATTTCTGAAACGTTTTTTGGCACTCTAGATTTTATCACGGTTGGCCTCCCTCCTGGGGGCAGGATCTGAGTGCTGAGGCTTCGTACGCACTGTAAACAGCTGAAATAACTATATTTGCGAGGCAGTCTAGCTCTTCTTCTGTTTCTGCAGTAATTGGGAGGTTGCTAATGTTCAAGGCTAAAAGGCTGCTAAAACGGGAAAGGTCTAGAGTGCTAGATTTGAACCTTTGTTGGGCCTTAGGGTATCGCGGGCCCCAAGGGAGGATAGTAAGGAGAGGGCGGTAATCCGATGTAGCATCTAAATGGCTTGCAATCCTAGTACTTGTTCTAGCGAGAGCAAGAGTACTAGATGCAAAGGTTAGATCGAGGGTATTACATTTGTCATGTATAGAGATATCTATCTCAGAGATAAATACTAGTCCAGATCTGTTAAGCTATTCGGATACTAGTTCGGCTGAGGTAGAGGGACCTTGCTGGAGCGAGGGCTGCCATCTATTGTGTAACAGGTTAAAATTACCTGCTAGTAAGGTTGGTTAGGTAAAATAGGAGTCAGGAAGTTTAATGAGTTCCTGTACAGCCTTACCGGGTCTGATCGAAGATGTAGCAGGAGCATTGTAAATGTTAAAGATCAGGGTAAGTTACTCTGAACGTGCAGAGATCTAGAGAAAGAGAAAGTCTGATAGTACTTTTTGATCGATACTATTAGGGCGAAGCTGAGAGAACTGTATACCCTTTTCTTTTCGGATATAGATTAGAACTTTAGGTCGGCCGTTTCTTACTCAACTATCAGTTAGAAAGAAACATTCGTACAAGGGGTATCTTTTGGTAATTTTGCGGGTAAGGTCCTTATATATATAGGGCTTTTGTATTAAAATAATGTCGGTACTTTGGGTGTATATCTGAGATAGAGCAATTTCGTGAGCTGTAACGTTGCGGCCTACATTCAGCTGGAATATTGAGAGAGAATCTGTTTAGTGATTTTAGAATCTTATAGTTTTTCATTCGTTAGAATTCCAAACTGATTTTGTAGTAGTAGTGTAGCAAAACGAACTGCCCTAGCTGTAACTGGAGGAGAGTCTGCTAGTCCTTGTTAAAGGGGAATAACTGGGCGGGATAGAGAGATTGTAAGATGGCTGTCGATAAACATATCCTGATTTTGCAAGGCCTCAGGGGTTCCAGTTTCAGGGGCTGCGGGAGGCTGGGAGCAGCATTTACTCTCAGTCCGTGCCTTAGAGAGGGTTGCGGAGCAGGTCTTACGGATCTCAGCCTGCTGGGCCTTTGTAAAACGAGAACCTGGCTTGTTGGGCCGGAGTAGGCATTGGTTATAGTCTACTGAGTGAGAGCCATAGCAGTGTAAGTATCTTAGGGGGCAGGTATGAGGAGCTACAGTAGCGCAGTAATTAGTATAGCTTTCTTCAGTGTATTATATAGAGCTGCAGAGACGGTAACGAGAGTTACATGCGCAAGATCTGGAGTTATACTACTTCCAGCAACTATTACATTGCAGGGTCTTAACCCTTCTAGATAATAGTTGGGCGTTTGTGATTATGTCAAACAAAGATAGTCATATAGATAGTTTAGTTTTACTTTTTTCAGAGAAATTAATAAACCAGCTTGAAGAGATTGTATTTGTATCCGAGGCACTAGCAGCAGTTTCAGTTACACTAACTGAGGTAAGATCAGTAGTTTCAGCTACTTCAGCTGATAATATTTCCGGGTTAACAGGAATTATAGAGTATTGACTTGCATTAAGCTGGCTGACATTTCTTGGTATATTCGTTACCCGGTATGAGATCCAGCGGGAGCTTCGCTCGATCTGGCAAGTAGTAAAGAAGGTAGAGATAGCCTCTTCCTGTGTCTCTAGAGCTGCAAGAGTTTCGGGAGATAAAGACAGGAGGGCGAATCCTGTCTTAATAGATTGGATACTCTTGAGTACTTTGTTATTGGTATCTAGATGGGAGCGGAAACTAGCGTAAATAGCGTATACATCTATATTTTTAGCAATGTAGTTTGACAGGAGACGTATAAAGAGGCAGAAATCAGGCTGCTAATTCAAGACAGGAATTGTAGTCTTTTGCTTAGCCCTGGGCTGAGGTATAGTAGGGCCTTTAGCATTAGTTGTTTGAGTGACTGTTGCGTACGTCGATTGAGCGAGACCGGAGGGAGGGCGAGATGGAGGGGGAGAAGGGGAAAAAGAAGCAGGGACAAGGATAGGGGCAGGGGCAGAGGGGGTCACAGTCAAGGTCAAAGGAACACCGCTGATATAGGCGTTGAAGTGTCGTTAAGCTATATCGGCCAGGTCGTTGCTGAGCGCGTCGAGCGCGCCTCGCTGGTAAGGAGCAAGGCCTGTTTGGCTCCGGTGTTTGTCGAGAAAGGCCGCTATCGGGCTGAATATCCTCTGGCCTTCAGTAACCCTAATAGAGGCTGCGGTAGTTGTCTCCAGTAACGCAGCTTGTAGAGGCCCGCCTGATTGGGGGTTGTGTGTTGCCATCGTGGCCCGTAGCGGTCGGATTGGGTGAGGCTGGCCGTGGACGGGCGTCCCTGATCCCGGGCACGTTGCCCGGAATGAGGATTTAGATATGAGTATTCGAAAGGGCTCTTATGAATCTATTCTAAGCGCGGTGCTTAGAATCGAGGAAAAGTGAATCTGGAGATGTGCAAGAGGGGCGAGGAGTGTGTCATCCAATTAGAGTCACCGGCGGAGGCTAAATATGATCCGGACGGGCACTTTCCAGTCACCTGACTACCCACTGGTAAACTGAGGTACAGGGAGTACTCTAGGTAGAGAATCATGGCACACCAAAGTAGATGTACCGGTCATGACAAAAATATCCAACATTCGCTTGCCTGTTTAGTTTCTCTCTTGAATAAACTGTTTTTAAGTGATATAGTAAACATATATCCAGCCAGATAACATGAACAGGCCGGCTGGCCCAATGGCAAGGCGCTTGACTACGAATCAAGAGATTGCAGGTTCGACCCCTGCGTCGGTCAATCTTTTCGCTTTTTCTTTTTGCTCTCCCTAGATAGAGATTGTGAATTAATAACTGTTTTTCTTCTTCTTTCTCTTCGCTTTTCTTATTTTATCAGCAAACTATTCTTCTATCCACCATTATGATCCCCTAAAGCAAGCAATTGACCTTCAACCCATCCATGAACCATCTCCCATATCGACAGTGACATTTTTAACCATGCTTTGACCATTTGAAAATTTCACACCTTACCGAATAGGTGGCTTCTTCCCATCTATATTCCCTAAAATCAACTCCACCTCCACATCCGCCTCTTCCAAAATATGGCTCGGCGGATATTCTGGACTCTACCCAATCTGCTTCCCATGCTCGGGCGTAAACTGACACCTAGCAATCGCAATTAACATCATCGTCATTCAGCAGTAATAACATACAAATAACTTACATCCCGCCCAGAAGCACCGGCACCATAGACGGTGACACTTCCAATGCCTCGCCCATCTTCTTCAAGACTTCATCGTCGGCTTGCATGACGTCATCGCCATCAATCACGTTGCGTTTCGCCAGCGCCTTCGTCATGGCCTTGTACACGTCGTTCCAATGGACATGGCCCGACGCGGTCAGATAGTAGGGGGTTCTTGCCGCAGCCGATCTCTTCGCCCTGGAGGATCTTTTTCAAGATTTGCAGGTATAAACCTGCTGTGTCTGCGATGTGACAGACGGGTCAGGTCTAGAGAACATCAGCTTGATTCGTTAAGATACAAGTACGAAAATTGAGGAACAGGTAGACGTACCGGGTTTTCAGTGTCCACTTTATACACTCTCCGCACCTTCATCGCCGCCTTGACGATCACGACGTCTTGAATCGACGTCTTATTTCCGAATCCCTCGCCAGGGCTATAGACGAGACACGGCGCGAAGATGTAACTTCTTACGCCATGCGCCTCTACGGTGTCGATGATAGTGGGATTAACCGAAACCAACTAAATATTTCATCGTGAGCATCTACTCACACGCAAATATCTCACGGATCAATCATGGATACCAACCTGATCAACAAACTCCTGTCCCGACCTCACCCCCTTCTGCATGTTATACAACCCCGGATCTATATCTGATAAATCACGTCTCGTATCCACTCCCACGTGTCGACTAAATTGTTTCGCACCGGTCGTGTGCAGAAAATGGACTTCATTTCTGGCGCGTCTGCGCACCTCCCCGAGGGCCTTTATCATGGGGAGTTGATGCGTGGATTTGTATGCCTCTATCAGGAAATAAATGATTGAGATCTCATGTTTGATTATGGCATTGATCACGGCGTCTAGTCAGATATATTCAGGACTAGGGGCGTGGCGCCGTATTTTTGGACTTGGGCGCTTTGGTCTTCGTTGCGGACCAGTGCGTAAAGAGTTCCGTGCGCCGGGAGAGTTGCGGTCTTCCATTTCGCGAGGATCGTGCCGCCTAGTTAGCCTGACGCGCCGGTTAAAAGGATGTTGTGGGACATTGTCGCTTTGGTTTTTCGGTTTGGGGTTGATATGTCCAAGTTAGATGATTGAGAGTTTTTGCGTGGTTCTGTTTGGGCTTGGGGGTTATATAGTGAGGTCATGATGCAACGTCATAGACAGGGCTATGGAACTATTTTCATGTATATCTCAAGTTTTTGATTGTGATCGGTAAGCTATCTTGAGTTTCAAGCGTTATATTTCTCGGAGACTGGTTTCTCCGATATTTATGATGAAGAGTTAGAGAAATTTCCTTTCTCGATGTGATGGGATGGATCATCATTGACACTTCGTTCAATATATATTTCCCGAACCATAGTGAAAGATCAAAAAAAAAAAATGAAGCTCTAGACTCAACCTGGTCCCGTGAATGCATGAGAGTTTAACCTAACGCAAACC